CCCAAAGGCCCTGCCAGCATCTGAGTCTCCATAACCCGCAGGACCTGTGCCAGTGCTCTTTCTCTCCGTCCTTCCTCCCAGGAGGCCACCGAGCTCCCTAGGGCAAAGGAGCTGCCCCAAGCCCAGGACTCTACTGAGCAGAAGGGGAATTGAGGGAGGGGAGAAGGGGAATAGGTACAGTGGGCTGGCTCTGAAAGCACAAAAGACTCCAATTTCAGCATAAGGCTCCCAGAAGAGAAAAAAAGGTCTCCCTAGGAACACCACAGAGGTCTATGAGCTGGGGAGGAGCCAATTTGAGAGCAAAAGACTGACAGCAGTGACAGGATGAGGGGAATCAACTAAGTGAAAGAAACAAGAAGAGAGACAAAGTGGGCTGGAGAGTCTGGGGAAGGAAAGATGGGTGGTAGGTCTCAATAGGGAGGCAACACGGCTGCCTGCTGTGTCGTATCAGGGTCAGTACCAAGGGCTGCTCATTGCTCAGGGCAGCCTTATCGAGCTGCTGTGATCTCTTGGCCTAGCTGTTTGTCCTCACTGCCACTTTTTCTAAATTATCCCTGCCCCCACCACACAGAGACACATCCAGGCAAGATGAACCAGTCCATCTGGCAGCAGGGTAGGTTGATACTCAGCATAAGGCCTTGGCACTTCAGATTAGGAGGCAGACCTTGAAAGACAAGTGAAAGGCAGAGAGGGAAGAAGGACCACTATATGTCAGTGAATGTGCAAAAGTTGGGGTCTGGCACAGGCGTGGATGTCTGGAATGTGCATGTCCCGTGTCTGCTGATGTATGTATTAAGGCCTTCTTAGAGCACACATGCATACTTGTCTGGCTGTGCTTACATCTCAGTGCTGGGTTGTGTATATAGTCCCCCATGTCTGTGCAGACGACTGCCCCTTTATGTCTGTGCAGACGACTGTTCCTTTAAGTGTAAATCTTCACTTGTGTGTGTTTCTATTGCTGTGTCCCATTCCATTTACATCTCTGAATCTAATGGGATCAAGTGTCTGGCTCATATTTCCAACCATACTTATAAGTCCCTAAGCAACTCTGGTGGATAAGTGGATGTGTAAGGGAGTAGCCTCAATCTCTGTGCCGCCAGTGTCTCTTTACCTCCTCCAAAGTTCACCTTGCTTGGCTCCTATCCCATTCTTGGCACATTCTTCCCCACCCCTGCTCCAGAGCTTGTCTCTCTTTATGTCCAGACTCAGAGACAAAGATGACAAAGTGGGCAGGGATTAAAGTCTGGCAACTCAATATGCATGAATGCCATCATATATGGTACATCATATATGGTTCTTTCCTACAGGATGACAACCACTTAGAGCACTGTGAAAACAACTCTTGCTGAAACTTAGGAGGAAATTCCATTGTAGTAAAACTACTACTCATCTGAGAACATACACCCATATATCCAGCCCACTACAATGAAACATTACAGGCAAATACCTCAACATTTCCACAAACTTGACCTCTAAATAAGTTAAAGTGACTCACAAACTTACTCAAATAGGAAATTAAAATAATCTCCAGCAACAGTCATCTGGTCAGTCAAAATACATACATTATACACACACAAATACACAAGCCAACCCAAAAGCTTAGTCTCATTCTACAGCTAGACCCCACAATAGCCATACACTTACCTGTGATATCCCCCAAGCATCATAGACACCCGTTCCAGCCCTTTCCATTGCTTCCACCAAATAATTACACACCAAAAAGAATTCAGATGGCAGTTGAGTCAGGCCCTGGTGTTTTAAAGGTGTCTTTTCTTGTCTCAGTTAAGAGATAAGGATACCCAGGGCCCAAGGTGAGAAAGAACTGAGATCTTAGTACTGCCCATTCTCCTCGCTGCCTCATCCCCTGGGGTGTGTTTGGAGGGAATGGAAGCAGAAGAGAGTAGGCTAGGAAGGGATGTGCATTCTTAAAAAAAGAAAGAAAAAAAGGAGAGCTGTCTGCTGTCCGTGGTGCTGGAAGCATGCATGTCCCTGTCCACGGTGCTGACATGCCCCACGCTTTCCTCCTGGTCCTTCTAAAGGTAAACAATGTTCTGAGTACCTCTTGTCCACCCTATGCTAAAGGAGTGAGGGCTAAAAATGGGGAGAAAGTGAAGAGGCAAAAGATAAAGAAGGGCTCAGCACAGCAGTGGGAGGAGGTGCCGAAACTTCCTCCAGCTACTCACATTCGTCAGGAATCTCTATGAGCAGGCAGGGGCTGCAGAAGAGGAGAGGCCACACGTACCACAGCGCCACGACCATCTTCCTAGTACCGGGGCAGCTCGGTGCAGCACAACTGGTTGGAGTCCACTCACCCTCCCGCCGAAGGGAAGGGGGTTAGTGGTTGACTTACAGTAGGTAGCTGCTGACAGTGGGGGGCACTGAGAGAAGGGAGGAGGGAAGGTGGGGGAGGAGAGAGGAAGAATGATGGAGCAGCCATTAATGACTAACATCTGGGCAAAGCCCAGATCTTGGCCCCTCCCTCAGTCCCGCCCCCAGATGGAAACCTTCCCCCATTTTTCCTCCTTTCCCCTCTTTACACAGCAATTCTACCCTGGAAGGTGAAACCTGTAAGAGACCACCTTGGTTAGGATTCCAGATTCCCTTTCGTTCCTTTCTCTTGGTCTGTGCTTTCCTGCCAGCTGCCTCTCTAGTATCAATTTGTTGTCCCAATTAACCCCTCTGTGGGTACCAATAGCCATGTGTGTCTTGATACACCTGTGAGCAGGTGTCCAAGGACATGTGTGTGGATGCAGATCTGCATGTGGGGAGTATTTATGTGGTTATGTGTGTGCATTCACAAGCATATGTTGTTTGTTTGTGTCTGAAGGAATCCATGTGTAGCTACTAGCTTTTCGTGTGTCTGAAAGTACTTGTAGACAATGAATCCCTATGACTCCTACCTAGCTCACACACGTGTATAAAGAACTTTGCTTGTAATTTTATTGTTATCTTTCCAAGAGCTGAATGAACTGGGCAGTGGTGGCACATGCCTTTAATCCCAGCCCTCAAGAGACAAAGGCAGGTGGAGTTCAAGGCCAGCCTAGTCTACAAAGCAAGTTCCAGGACAGCCAGGGTTCTTACACGGAGAAACTCTGTCTTGAAAAACCAAACAATCAGCCAACAAACCAAACAGACAAAGTAATAATAAAGTCAAGTCCTCATGGTGAAAAATATTGCGAAGAATGATGTGTATACATTATCCTATTTATGCCATTTCATACAAAACAAAAGAAGAGCTGACCGCTGAGAGCTGTTTGTGCCTACAAGCTGGAAGCTTGGGGAACAGGATAGGAAAAGTGGAAATGGGCCCAAGATAGCTGTATTTCATAGAACAGACTCAAGAAAAGGAAGCGAGGATGAGGGATGAAGCCTGGAGAAAGAGAAGAAAGCACTCCCTTGTTTCTCTTCAGCCCCCAGAGGTCAATAGTGGGAATTATGGCCTCCCTACTGCTACATGTTCTAGGCCAGGGTCAAGGCAGGGCCATAAAAAGCTTTGGGATATTTCCAAAACAGTGTTTCTAAGATCTCTCATGTCTGGTAGTCTCAGCACCTGGTTCTTTTGTTTTTTTTTTTTTTAATCTTCAGAGTTCAACTGCTAGATGCATCCACTTCAAGAGAAAGTTATTCCAAGTGTGTTTCCATGGACACAGTGGGGCCCAGAGACTGGAGTTCCAAGAAAAGGATCAGGAGAGGAAACAGATGACTAAGAAAACAGGCCACTTGGACTGACATAATAGAGGCAAGGGTGTTGAACAAATGAGCATGCAGTGCTGGGTGACTGAGCTAGAGGCCCTGAACTCCAATCTGGATGCTCTCAACAAATCCATCTAACCGGAATCTTATCAAAGTAGAGCGCCTCATTAGAACACTCAAATGTAAAAAGCCAGTAAGGAGGACTTACAAGATGGTTCTGTGAGTAAATACGCTTGTCAGATAAAGCCTGATGATATGAGTTTGACTCCTGCAACACAGAGAATGGAAGGAGAGAATTGATTCCCATAAATTGTTCTCTGATTTTCAAGTAAGTATCATGGCATAAACACACATAAATCAATAAATATAGAAGAAAAATTAGAATACCCAAAAGATAGGCCAAGAGTCCTGGAATGCCATGTTAAGGCATCTGAACTCCATTAGGATAGCTAGGAGTCACAAATCGATTTCACACAAGGGAGTGATCTGAGAGCAGCAGTCAGCTTGTAGCTTTGCCCTTCAAAGCTGGTGAAGGTGGCAGAGCACCAGGGTGGGTCAATAGGGCTGGTCTGGAGGCCAAGAGAACGACTTAAACACTGGGAAGTGGAAAATAGTCCAAACCTGCAAGAGCTGAGCTGAGCTGGGGCCCAGAATGGAAGAGAACAGTGGTTTTGTTTTACCAACACCTCCCCCAACAAAGCCAGTGCTAGCAGGGCCAGGCAGCCCCAGGCAGCCTTATTCTTGACTTTAAGGCTTGTAGAAAGCAGTAGGAGACTCAGATCAGAGAGCAAGGGATCAAACAACAGCCTTGAGAACTATAAGCCTTGGTCTGAGGTGGAGGGGCTTGAGGACTGGAGCAAGGGAAGCTCAAAGAAGGACTGTCCTATCTAGGAGGATGCTTTGATGCTCTGTGTATTAAACTGGTGATTTCTATCAAGCTACTTCCTCATTTTTCTTCCAAATCTTCAATCCCAAAATGGGGTTTGGTATACATGCAAAGTGAGGAGCAGGGGCTGGGAATATGGAGTTGCCCTTGCATGTCCCCCATCCTAGATTCATCCTAATACCCACACATTCAATTTATTTTTATGTCTTCTAGCATTTGTCATCTCTCTTGCCACTACGCTGGGTACTCAGAGACAGGCAGAAAGGAGCCAGAACACTAAGAAGCCTTTGACAGATGGGAAGGGGCTCTCCTGTCTCCCTTCCTATTGCTGCTGTGTCTCTGATCTCTCATCATTCCTCAGGCAATTATAGAGAGAGCTAAGGTTGTTAGCTCAGCAGGCCCTGACACCCCCATCAACACGATGGAGGGCAAAGGGGATGGTAAGTGTTCCACAGATGGAGCCAAGGCCCAGCCTGCCAAGGGTGACAGACAAAGTGAGAAAGAGGCAGGAGGGAGCAGGAGAGTCTGAGAAGCAGGGTTAGGGGGATGGTAACAGATGACAAAGACAGCTGTTAGAAGACTAGATAGCCAAGAGATAAACAAGCTGGAGAAATATGGAAACAGAGACCTGGGGACAGGGGAAAAAAAAAGAGGTAAAAGGAATACAAAGGGTGACAGACAGGTGCAAAAATAACTGCTGAGAAACGGCAGAGAGACAAGAGGGATAGGTGTGTACACCTGTGTGCAGGCCACAGCTGCCTCCTTCTGCAGTGGTCCCAGTCTCTGAGGGAAGATGGTGCCAGGCAAGGGGCAGGGAAGGAGGGACAATGAGTCTGGGTCAGTGGAGCGGGGGGCTTCTGTGCTTGGAGGTCAAGCTGAGTGTAGGAGCAGGCCTGAGAGAGTAGAGATACTGAGTACTGAGGCCAGAGAGACAGCAAAGCACCACAGTGACAGTGGAAAGCCCCTGCCCACTTGTGGCACTGGGGCAGGACAGTCATAAGACAAGATAAATGATTCCCTGTTGGCTAATGCACATGTGCCAGAGAACAGGTGGAGAAGGGCTATGAGGGAGAGAAACCCCCAAGAGCTCAGTGGATCCTTCTAAGATTGCCGCTGAGCACATGCCAGTGCAGAATAGGCAGCTGCCTGGCTGGGGAAGGTGCACACAAAAATCATAGGCACAACAGTGTGTGTGTGTGTGTGTGTGTGTGTACCAATCATGTATATCTATCACCATGTACACCTCTCACCGTGTTGTGGAGTGTAAGACAAAGGTGAGTATGCACCCATCATTCTAACTACCTTGAAGCAAATCTCATATGAGCAAGGAGGAGAAAGGGTGCAGCAATCATTGGGAGGGACAAGTCCAGGAGGTGAAGATCAAGATCACAGGCGCACAAGGCAGGGCTCAGAAACAGCTCCCGAGAAGCCTCACCTCTGCCCTTACCTTAGCTGCTCTGTGCCCTGAGTCCTGTGGGGAGCCCACTTGTCTACACCACTGCATGGTTGGCCAAGCCAGTTGACAGGGGGAGGCCTGTGAGGTCATATAACCTGACTGAATCCTGAGCATACACCCATACACACACTCAGCCACACACACACACACACTCTCCAAGGATGCTATGCAAATGCACTTTAAGCACACGCCTAACCACTCTTGGACTGCCATTGCCAGTCTTTCCCAAAGGAGAAGAAACAAAAGGGTCTTTCAAAGGTGGAGCAAATAACATCTAAGCCTCTTACTCTGTTTCTAGAGGAATGGGATCAGGCCAGAATGGGAGCCAACCTGGGGACTCAGTGTTCTCGGTACTATGTCAGAGTCAGAATGGGTGGCAAGTCTGTCCCTCAGGCCTGGGAGAAGTAGGAGAGTTTTGGTAACTCATCAATATGGACATGAAGGTATAGGTGTCACCTAAACCCTATGCACTATGCCACTTTAAGCACCCCCACCCCGTAGGCTTTGGCTGTGGGTTTCTATGGTGATGGAGTCTGACAGCAAAAGTGGGGGAAGTCTTCTTGTAACCTTCTGGGTTATTTAGATAATCAGAGTACATAAAGACTTGAGGGAGCCTGCATGGGTACCTGGAAGCCCAAAAGTCTTAGACTCCGTCCTACATCTTCCCTAAGGGGGACTGGAAAGAGTATACCCCATCCAGCCAGTCTTTCTTATCCCAGCCCCCTCATCCTACCTGAGGCGCCCGTCTCCAAGGCAACTAAGGCTCACCTGTTAAGGACCATTCTCCTTAAATGATGGGAAGGGAGCAGATGGAGGTTAACCCTTTGTGAGGAAGGGAGAGATGATCCTCATCATTGGCTGGTCCCACCCTACACTCCCTCAACCATGATGTATATCAGCTCCATTTTTTTTTTTTTTTTAGTTTTTTCGAGACAGGGTTTCTCTGTGGTTTTGGAGCCTGTCCTGGAACTAGCTCTTGTAGGCCAGGCTGGTCTCGAACTCACAGAGATCCGCCTGCCTCTGCCTCCCAAGTGCTGGGATTAAAGGCGTGCGCCACCACCGCCCGGCGGTCAGCTCCATTTTCTTAAGTAAACTCATAACACTTACCACCTACCAGGGACTCTTCTAAGCACTTTCCCACAGATTCATTTCATTAGCTCCATTTGACATGCGACAAAACTGAGACCCAAAGATGAACTGTGTGCAGAGTTGCCATAGGTACTCAGAAAGGGTGGAGTTTGAAACAGTGTAGAGGCTCCTGAAGCTGTCAAAAGCTCCTCTATCATCCTAATTTGTTCCTGTCTGAATCCTCAAGAACCAGAGAGAGGCCTGGTCAAGTATAGCCTCCAAGCCATTCTGTCTCACAGGGAAGAGCCTATTTGCTAGGCAAATGTAGGAGATGAGGAAGTGCCATGTAAGCAACAGCATGCCTTCAGGGAGCAGGCCTAACCCCCAAACAATCTATCTGCCCCTCCACTTGGCTTCCTCTTAGCCTGAAGTCCCATGGATTTCCTTGTCCTCTTTCTAATAGCTGGAATCTCAGCTTGCTGTTACCTGCCTTGCAACCAAAGGCTCACAAAAGGTCCCTCTCTCCAGCTAGAGCTCAGGAACAGCAATGGCTCTGTTTCTGTATGGGTGATAGAGACCAAAATCCAGCCTTCCGAAGTGCTGGAGGCAGAGCTATGAAGTAGCAGGGGGTATCAGGGTTCTCCTGGCCCTGGGTTTCATGGGTCAGATAGGATGAGACTCACTGAGGGGCTTCAGGGGCCAGGTCAGAGACTATATGGATCCACTGCTTGGTTGAGGGGCCACCAAACAAGTAGGCAATCCATCTGAGTAAAATGTGGTGAATGGAGCAGCAGCTACTTGTCTCTGGTTCCAGAATGACTCCTGGAAATGTCTCAGACACTGCCAGGCCCCAGCAGACCCTTGGGGCTTCTATTCCCAAAGGGTTAAAGGGAAGAAGAGGCACAGGAAGCCTAGGAGTGGACAATGGTGCTTCTGTCCTCCCTGTGGCCTGAGCATTCCTCAGGCATGAACGAAGCCATCTGGGGAGGGGCCCAAGGGAATAGCCCCTTCTACTGAGACCAAAGCCTGGCCGGATCAAAGGCTTTGCCCCCAACAAGAACCAGTGCTGCATCTGCCAGCCACCACCCCATCCCACTCTCCCAATGTAGATCTTGTTAGGGACACAAGAGAATGTGTATGTGTGCACACTGTCTCTCAAGAACATGCATAGAAATATACAAATGTTCACAGACAGCCAAATAGGAGTCCCATGCAGGCAAACAAGACTAATGGAAGTTACACAAATACACACATGTGGCCAGATACATGAGCCTCACACACGCAAATAAAAAGACTAGAACATGTACACACAGGCCCAAAGCTTCCCAGCAACCGAACTCCTCCATGCAAACCTCCAGACTAGGGCTACCTTTCCCCCATCCCGTTTTTGCCTGGCACTGTATGCTTTAGACTGGATTTCTGAGGAATGAAGGCACTCCTAAAGAGACAGCCCTCATCCTTCAAGCCTCATTTTCAGACCAAAACTGAGACTGACAGGCTCCAAAGTTCCTTATGCACAAGTGCATATTCTGTTACCTTCCTGCCCCACCCAATCCCTGCCCCTGCTGGGTTTAGGAGCCAGGGACTAGCACAAACTGCTGAATGCACACCAAATGGCCTTACAGCTTTTCAATCTGGAAAAGCTGAGGCAAGCTTCTGGGGTCTTGGGTGGGGGATAGTGGACAAAGAAAAGCTTCCAGAAAGGCCAGCAGAGCAGATCCTTCCCTTGGCGAAAGAACTCCCCGCCCTCCTCTGACTCCTCCCTCTCCCTTCAACCACAGCCTTTAGGAAGCCACAAAGACCCTGTTGATACTAGGGAAGAAGGCAGGATGGTAATCAGATGCTTCTCTCTACCCTCCAGGTCAGACAAGGTCATATGGGGGTGTCTAGCCCAATTTATGGGCACGAAGACAATTAAGGTACACTAAGGGTCACCCCTATTACTGGGTCTGGCAACTCAGTGCCAAGCTCACAGTCATCAGGAGCTCCTGAGAGAGAACAACACTTTAGGGGAAGTAGGGAGTGAAGCAAAGAAATACCAGATCAACAAAATGGCAATCGGATAGAGCAAGGAGAACCAACTGGAAAGGGAAGTGGGCAGGCAAAGGCAGGGAGGAAAACAGAGGAGAGGAGGGAAGGATAGGGCTGCATCTCCCCCCCCCCCATTGGCAAATGAGAAAGAATCTAATGAGAGGATGACAGGGTGACAGCAAGGAGCTTGGGAGAGCAGAAGAGATGACCAGATTAGAACAAATGGCAAGGGAAAGGTTATAGGGTCTAATGGGTGGGGCCACTGAGGGTCCATTCTAGTTGGCCCCATACAGGGACCCAAGCCCTGCCTTCCCCATTATGGGAGCAGGTGACAGGGCAAAGATGCTTCCAGTTGGGACACTAGTCCTGGAATTCAGTCCCATTCCCAGTGCCTGAACTACAGGGTACTCCCTCACACCTTGTCCACAAAGGGAGGCCTGGCAGATCTCTGAATGGGGCCTCAGTTCTACTCTATAACCTGAACACATGTGGTCTTGGAGCTACTGGCAGTGATCATTGGGCTAGGTCATTCTGAAAGGTCATGTCACCCTCTCAGACCTGAGGAGCACCTAGTTGTTGCAATTTTGGGTGGTACTAGGGACTATTTGCTTTGAAAGAGACCTTGAATATATCAGTGACCCACCACTGCTGAAGATAAAGTTTGGTGTCACGGCACAAGAAGGCTGAGGCAGGAGCATTACTGTGAGCTTGAGATCAGCCTTAGCTACATATTGAGTACTAGATCAGTAAGAGTTACAGAGTGAAACCTTGTCTCAAAAAAAAAAAAAAAGAAAGAAAGAAAGTTGAGAGGCAGAGGCAGGCGGATCTCTGAGTTCGAAGCCAGCCTGGGCTACAGAGAGTTCCAGGACAGCCAGGGCTACACAG